GGGCCCCCGGGAGAGCCAGGCAGGCCAGGTCCTCCGGGTCCTCCTGGCCCAGGTCCGGGTGGGGCAGCGCCCCCTGCCGGCTACATGCCTCGAATCGCCTTCTACGCGGGCCTGCGGCGGCCTCACGAGGGTTACGAGGTGCTGCGCTTTGACGACGTGGTGACCAACGTGGGCAATGCGTACGAGGCGGCCAGTGGCAAGTTTACCTGCCCCATGCCGGGAGTCTACTTCTTCGCTTACCATGTGCTCATGCGCGGCGGCGACGGCACCAGCATGTGGGCAGATTTGATGAAGAATGGACAGGTGAGATGTCCCTCTCCCACCTAGCCCCAGATCCTCAACTGGTAGCTTCTTAAATCTCTCGTACTCATTCCACAACCCCAGCTCCTTCCCTGAAATAGTGTCAGTGGATCCAGGAGCGAAAGGCTGCAAAGAACAAATAAATAATTTCATTTAGCCAAACTGTAATTGGGGGCCAGAGAAATAGCACCTGCCCAGGGTCTCACGGATCATTAGGAATGGTATCCGATTTAGAACTCACGATTTAAACTTAGTGTCTTGGCAGCTGCGACCTCGCCTTACAACTTTAGGCAATCGTGCTACCATTTACCCAGCCCATTTTCTCCTCGTATCTTGAGCTCCCTTGTGTGTTGTGAGGGGAAGCATCCCTGGCCTTTGGGTTTCTCATCCCTGGTGTATGGTAAGCTACCTGGAACCCATCTGGCTTTTTGGAATCAGAATGAAACCCATTTCTCAGGCAATCAGCAGTCAGCAAGCATCCCCCATATGGAGACATTGAGCTTGGATTTTCAAGGAAAGGGTAAAACTAGAAAGCGCTTGCCCACTTGGTCGGCAGTGGCCCTACTATTCACCCCAGATCATGGGGCCAATACTAGACCATTCCTTGCCCTCCGATAACACTGAGTCTCGTAGGCAGGGATGGGAAATGGTCTGACGTTCAGGGACCATCTAGGTGGTAGAAGAAATGGATTTGGAGGAAGAATGAGGCAAGAAACAAGGAGGATCAAGACCTTGGGCTCTGGCCTGGTCTGTAGTAGTCCTCACTTCCTTCCTTAGCAATCTCCCAGCCTCCAGGTTCTCCTGCTTGCTGTCCCTCCAGGCAGTCATTTTTCCCTGGTTTGGGGGATAGTCCCAAGGACTCAATTGTAGATACACAGAGCTGCAGGGTGAGGCTTTGGCTAAGGTGGAGGCAGCTGCCTGGGCAATGCAGGCTAAATGGGGTTGGGGCTGAGCAGTGACCTTTGAATGCCTCACAGGAGGGAGTAGTGGCTGGAGGGGGTGCATCTGGCCTATTCCTTGGAGTTTGTCTGAGCCAGCTTTGCCGCAGCACCCTTCTGCATTAAGGAGGACACCTCAGCTGCTGGCCCACCTTCTTACCTGCTTTGGGATCTCCCAGCAGAACCGGAGGGAAGCAAGTGAGAGTTCCTGGGTGGCTATATGGGGGTGAGATAGTGTATGTGTGTAAGGAAGTGTGAGTGTGTGATGTGAGTGGTCTGTGGGTGGGGGGGACGAAGGTATCAGTAGAGCGGTGGTGTAGATGAGCATGTGGCACTGAATAGCCCTGCTTGGTTCATGCAGGCTGTCTGGAAGGAGGCCCAGGGACGAGTATGTATTTCAAATGTGTTGGTTTTGGAGGGGGTGGGGGTTGTGCTGTTCCCACTCTGTATTCTGTCCACCCTGTGGGCGCTGCGGCCCTGGGGATGGTAAATAATGATTAGAATAATGATGAATAATTAATGAGTTAATAACCAGCCCAGTGGGACAGGAAGAGGGGAGCTGAGGAGGGGGCTAACAGCCTAAGGCAAAAGCAGTGAGGCTAGAGGGGGAAGCAGGGCTTCCTGTTTCTCAGCAGAAGACCTTGGGCACCGGCTAGCCCTCCACTGGGAAAGGGGCACCCAGAGGCCAGAGAGACAGTGCCAGCATGCTGTAGCACACGTGTAGATTCACCTATGACCCAGCACAAGTTTAGGACTCATCTGAGGTCCCAGTGGGCACAGAATCATAAAAATTACCCTACAGGCTTCTTATTTTAGTTTCATTTAGTTTTTGGCTTTTTTTGGGAGACAAAGTCTCGCTATGTACTCCGGGCTGGTCTTGAACTATGTAGCCCAGGCTGGCCTCAAACTCACAGAGATCCTCCTGCCTCAGCATCTGGAGTGCTGGGACTACAGGTGTGCACCACCATGCCCAGCTCTAATTTTATTTTTAAAATGAGATTATAGCACTAACAACAACAATGGCTCTATAATAGCCACTGTTCTGAACACACCTCACCTGTAGCAACCCATTTAATCCTAACAACCTCAGGATGTAAGTTCTATTATTACTCCCAAATTTTATCACTCAGATTGGAGCCCTGATGTGTGCCCCGAGTTGCACAGCTAGTGGACGGCACAGCCAGAGCTGCTCTGGATCTCCTAGCTTCATCTTGCCTTTCCCAGCACCACAGCCCCGTCCCCCAGCACCACCTTCTCCTCTCATCTCACTGGTTAGCCCAGCTCCGCACAGGGCATCAGTAGGTCATTTCCTCCTCGGCTCCCTCCCTAGGTTCGGGCCAGCGCCATTGCTCAGGATGCAGACCAAAACTATGACTACGCCAGCAACAGCGTCATTCTACACCTTGATGTGGGCGACGAGGTTTTCATCAAGCTCGACGGGGGGAAGGTGCACGGCGGCAACACCAATAAGTACAGCACCTTCTCGGGCTTCATCATCTACCCGGACTGACGGGCACCATCCCCGCCCCTTCGCTCCCCCTTCGCTCCAGGCCTCACTCACTTCCTGTGGGCCCCGCCCAAGGCGCCACCCCATCCTTTAAAAACCTGGGACGGACCCTCCCACTCGGAGGCAGCCGAAGGGCGGACTCTTGGGGCTCTAGGCGCGGCGGGAGGAGAGGGGCTCTGAGGACCAGCCGCATCCGCTAGCTGCGTGGGAAAGTAGGACCAGAATGGGTCCAAAATCGTGATCCGCTCCTCTGCCTGGAGCTGGGGGAGCAGCTTCACTAGCCAGGGCTCAGAGGCCCAGAAAGCGGAAGGGAAGCCATGGTGGCTAAGGAGGCAAAGAATAGAAACTGGGAGCCAGTGTGTTGGCGAGAAGAGACACTAGGTCGGGATAGGCACTGGTCCTCGATTGACAATTTTCTCTAGACATCCCTTCCTCCTTCATCTCCATTTTCGTGCTAGAGGCTCCAGCCTTGGCAGCCTTCCAGTGAACTGGAGGTACTGGTGAATTTTTTCCTAGCATTTAAATTCATTCTGTACAATCACCATTCCATCCTCTTGGGCCTAGGCCTCAGGGCTATAGCTGCTGTAGGCTCTTCCAATAAAATGAGGTTGGGAGATTGTGTGTGGCCACTTTAACTTGGTGCACAAAGTGAGGGGCTCTTCTGCGACGGGAAGGAAGAAGTATCAGCTCCAGGAGAACTGTGGGGCCTCCCTTTGTAGGCTCGGGTGGGGGGATGACGACACACCAGCCAGAGTGACACAAGAGCGGATTCTAGAGGTTTGACTCTGGGCTCTGCTATTCTGCCTAGTACAGGGAGAGGGTTGTAGCAGAGTGGGGTGTTTTTTGTTTTTGAGATGGGGTTTCACTGTATTACCCAGGCTGGCTTCTAACCCCTGACCTTAAATGATCCTCCCACCAGAGTGGCTGGGACTACAGGTGTGCCCCATCGTGCCTGTCGAGTCCTAGCAGCGGAGCTGTAGGGGATGAGGGTGTAGCTCGTGGCCCCCGGAACTGATCTTAAGGCTCAGGGAGAAGCAGAGACCCCATAATGGACCCCAGCCCACTCGGAGGTCGCTGAGGGTGGGGAGAGCAGGACAGCTTCTCCAGGAGCCTGTGGGGTGGATTTGGAACCCTTGGCAACCTGTGAGCTGGGGCACACTGCCACCATGTGGGCAACTGGCGAGCAACCAGTGGCTGCCCAATGTGGATACTTTAAGCTCACTCACTGGCTACTGAGACATTGTAAACTTTATTGAAAGATAAAAGAGTGTTGGCTCCCAGTCCCACGGGCAGACCAACCATAAATAAGGGATAAAGGGAAGGGGTAAGGTGGGGAGGGTGGAGGTGGAAGCCTCAGTGTGGAGAGCTCTGAGGGGCCGCAGAACCAACTGGAATGAAACACTAGAGGAAGAAAGAGGTCTTGTCACATTCCCACTGCCTTTCAGTAAAGGAGTGGAGGCCGGCCCCTGACACCACCCCTGCACAGACGGACTGGAGGCTCACCAGGGCATCTTGCCATTCGAGCACTGTGGCCACAGGGTTGGTGCAGATACGGGTGGGCCCTGGGGGAGGGACTCGGCTGGTGTAAAAGGCACATTCGTCGTCCAGACGAGCCTCATGGGAGCAGTGGATAGCACTGAGACATGCTTTGAGGCGCTGCCTCAGGGCCAGCGTTCCAGGGGCCAGACTGCTGCGACCTGAGGGCCACAGAGTTTAGACAGTGGCCTGGAGTCCTGTACTCTCACCATATATGGTCCCTTCCCCTCCTTCATGGGCCAAGCCAGTGAAGAGCCCAGGGATAGAGGGGCAGGTCCTCCCTTCACCTTGAGGGTAGCCAGGCTGTGACAGAGGGGACAGTAGCATAGCAACACTTGGTGCAGGTCAGGGCCCCACTCCCAGAGATACGATCTCCTTTGCTCAATCCCTTCCCAGCCAACTCCTTACCTGCCTGGCCTGTTGGGGGCCTTGGAGACTGCAGTGAGCAGATGCGGGGGCTGGCACAAAGGGGGCGTTGGGAACAGAAGGTCAGGCTGGTGGTTGCTGGAGCCCCCTGACTGCAGCAGCGCCATGGACTGGACTCTAGGCTTTTAGGTTCCAGGGAGTGGGCCTCTGATGCCCTCAACCCTACTCTTGGACAGGCCTCTTCAGACACAGCCTGTCTCTGAGGCCTAGGCTGAAGGAGTCCAGGCTCTACTGATGGGCAGGGCTCTGCTACCTCAGGCTGCTCCTGGGAGGAGGGCACTGGTGTCTCTGGTCTGGCCTTAGGGCAGAACTCTGGAGGCCCTGGCTCTGTTGGTGGGCAGAGTTGTGTCACCTCTGGCTCTGCACCAGAACAGGGCTGTGCATCCCCACGCTCCTCCAAAGGGCAGGGCTCTGGCAGCTTAGAGTGTTGTGACAGTCCAGGAAGGTGGGAAGTCCCAGAATTATGGTCTGGGACATTCAGAGTTCTAGAAATTTCAGCCAGCAGGGGTTTAAGTTCAACCATATCCAGAGAGGAGCCTCCATTAGGTGGGGCATACTTGCCCGCTGCGAGCCCTTCTACCTCCTGGCGCAGTAACTGCTGCAGGATATTGATGCGCTATAGTGCGAGAGTGCCCGAGAGCGATGTCAGGATGTGGGTCCCTCTGCCCTCCCAGTTCCCCCTTCTCCAGTCCTGTCACTGCCCAGGCAGGCATCAAGGCCTTGTCCCCACAAGCCCACCTGCATTTTTAGCTCCTGAAAGTTGAGGGTTCCATAGGAGTGAGATCCAGGACTTGCCACAGCTGGTTTCCCAGGCTGCTCCTGCAACTTTACACCACTGTCCTGGTCAAACAACCGTACTGCAATCTTCTCCTGTCACATAGATGGAAAGAAGGCAGGTGAGGTAGCCAGGCTGGGGCAAGAAGACTAGTCTGAGTCCCTAACTAGAGATTCAAGTCCCTAATTGAGAGGCCCTAGACTTAAGAGTAGAAGAGCAGCACAGAAGTATTAGGAGATGGAGAGGTAGGTGGCTTCTCCGGAGAACACACCTACTTCAAAATCTAGGTCTCCCGGCCACGGGGACAGCACAAGGGACCTCAACATGGATAAGCTTCTCATACTTACCCAAGGCACAGCAGACTCTTCAGGGCAGGACTGAGGAGTAAGGCCACTCAACCATCTGGTCTGTGACAGGAATGAGGTGTCAGAAGGCCCAGTAACCCACAGATGGATGCAGTCTCCCCTTGCCTGTCTTAACTCTCCCTGTATCCATCTGTCTCCTTCCTCCCACAGTCTGGCCCAGGCCAGCTACCTCCGTTGAATTTTTTTTCTTCTGGTACCGGGGATCAAACTCAGGACCTTGAGCTTGCCATGCAGGTGTGGCATCACTAAGCTACATCCCTGGCCCTCCCTTGACTTTTCTTACCTGCTTAACTCTGGGGGTGGATGGAGTAAACTGAGTTTTGGGTCGAATGGTGAGACGCCGCAACAGTGAATATGAAGTCTGGGGAGAGATGTGGGTGCTGAGCAGGAACAACCTCCAGGCCCGGGTTCTCCAGCCAGATTATTCTGTTCTTGCTCAGGCCCCAGGAGTTTTCCATACAAACCAGAGCAGGGAGGCCAGGGGATGGTACACGCTGAGCCCGTCCAAAGGGTGATGGGTGAGTGGCAGAAGGCGTGACCACACGGCCAGGCATGGGCTGGGCCACAGGGGCAGGGGAGGGCATCAGGTGGGAGTCCCAGCCATCCTGTGGAGAGGGAGAAGGTGGCAAGAGTGATCTCGTTCCCTTTCCTGTGGGGGCCACACTGCGGCAGCCAAATCATACCACTTCTTTTATCCATTTCCTCTCTTGGCTTCCCACTCATTCCAAGCAAAACAAACACACAAAACAAACAAACAAAAAAACCCAAGGGCGGTCTCACCCCCTACTCTGAGATGGGGGAGTCACGTGCCTAAAGTGAAAGGCTGTTGGGAAATGGAGATTGGGGGGATAGAGCTGAGATTCTGGGGCTGATTTGTGGAAGGGGCTCGGGGGGAGGGTTCTTTCCCAGGTGAGAGATAAACAGGCTGCTGGGGCCATGGAAAGTGATGACTAAGAAGTCATTAGGCATGGGGGGAATCTCAAGAAAGCAAGCTAGCCTCCGGGGTTATGAAAATGTGGGCCTCTCACTAGGGAGGCTGAGGTAGGAGGATCACTGAGATCGAGACCAGTCTGGGCTACATAGTGAGTTCCAGGTCAGTCTCAACTACATAGTGAGACCCTGTCTCAAAAAACTAAAAAAAAAAATGTGGGCTTCTCTGGAAGGTGCCCTGATGTGGGTGGGGGAAGAGATCTGGGGCTTTCTGTGTGCTAAGGGGGTCTCCGAGTCAGTGGGAAGTTTGGAAGGAAGTGAGATGGTATTTCTGGGATCCTGCGGGTCATTTTGAGAAAGGGGGATGGGGAGCCTCAAGGCTGGGGTTCATGATAGGAAATCCGGATTTTTCAGGAGCCCTCCAGGGGCAGTTGCTTAAACCCTTGGGATGAACTGCAAGAGGGAGAGGGACCCTCGGGGTCCGTGGATATGCGTGCTGGTGTCTAGAAGCCGAGTAGGACATAGAAGTTTCAGCAGTTCCAGTATGGGGAAAACAAACAAACAAATGAACAAAAAAAACCCAAGGGTATTACACAGATTTAAATCCCTACCTAATCCGATTCTGTTATTGCTGTAAGCTTTTCTCTTACTATTCCCCTCCTTCATCGGCTTCAGTCTCACTAGTCTTTCTTGCTGACCCACAAACACACTGCGTACATTCTCTCCTATGCCTTTGCATCTAGAGCTCTCTTGGCCTAGAGCATTCTCCCCTAGATAAATGCTTGGCTGGCCCTCAACTCCTGTTCACTTAAACATCATCTTCTCAGTGAGCCCCCTGCCCAGCCAACATTACACTGTGATAACAACTCTGCTACTCTCCAGTACCCTTCAGTGCCTTGTTTTTTTTCTCTATAGAGAATGGATCACTATCTGAAAGCTTATATATTTTACACATGCGTTTCACATGCTTTTTTTTTTTTTTTTTTTTTTTTGGTTTTTGGAGACGGTCTCACTATGTATTTGAGACTGACCTGGAACTCACTATGTAGCCGAGACTGACCTGGAACTCACTATGTAGTTGAGAATGACCTGGAACTCACTATGTAGCCCAGGCTGATCTTGAACTCACAGCGATCCTCCTGCCTCAGCCTCCCAAGTGCTGGGATTACAGGCGTGCACCACCATGCCCGGCTTCACATGTGTTTATTTTTGTCTTCCTTTCTACAGGATTTATGTCCAGAGCCTAGAACAGTAACTTCACTCAGTAGCTGGTAGCTATCTGTGGAATGAAGCAATGAATGATTTTGGTTGGCAAGTGTCAGATCTGTCTCAGCCCTGGAACTGATCAGACAATGATAAAATATACGGTTTGTGACCTCTCCCTCCAGGCCCCAGATCCCACTTTGCAGTGGGCCTGGACCTACGTGTAGCAAACCCAGATGCCATAACATCCGGAGGACCAGGCCTGCCTGGCTCCACTCTCAGTCCTAAATTCCCCTAAGCATCTCCCATGTCCTTGTCCCCATCCCAGGAGGGTCCCTTCTCACCCCAGTGGGTAATCTCTCTTTGGTTTCTCTTAAAGGTACTCGCTGGGCCAGACCTAGGAGGGCCCCTCCTCCTTCACCTGAGTGAGGGACGCTTTCATGTTCTTCAAGCAGAGAAGCTAGGAGACAGGAAATTTGCTGTAGTACCTAGAAGATCCACAAAAGTCTGGCACAGGGCTTTGCAACTTCTGAAAAAGGTGCACCAGTTTGAGTCCCCATTGCTCGTCAGAGGCAGAGACCCCTGGAGCATCCCAAGAGTCAACACAACCTCAGTAAATCCTCATCAATCCCAGCATCATGAGTGAGGTGGGGCAGGACAGTTAATGAAAGGTCAATCTTGCAGGAATGGCAGGGAGAGGGCAGAAATGGGGACACAAGTACAACTGGCCAAAAGCCAGAAGGTCTCTCTCTGTCCTCCTTCTCCTCCCACCCTTTTTTTGTTTTTGTTTTTTGGTACCGGGCTTGGGACCTTGTGTTTTTGAGGCAGGCAATGGCACTACTGACCTAAATCCCAGGCCCCTGTTTTTGTTTTTTGAGACAAGGTCTTGATATATAGTTCACAGTAGCCTAAATTTGTAGTGCTCTGCCTGCCTCAGCCTCCCAAGTGCTGAAATTACAAGTGTGTACCACCATACCCATTCATACATTCATTTTTGCAGTGCTGGGGTGAAACCCAGGACACTTCAAATGCTAGGCAAGTGCTGTACCAATGCTCCCCGCCCTCCTGGTCCTACTGATCTAGCCTCCCCACCTCCCCATTTCCTCACCCGACCCCCACCCTCCAAAGCCTGCTGTGCTTTTTATCCAGTTTCCTGTTGCAGGGGAAACTCACCAGGCTGCACAGGGGTTTCCAGGCGCAATCCTGAGGCCTGGCTCACTGATGTCCTGATGACAGTAAGAACCACAGAAGTCACTGAGTACCAACCACGAGGTGGGCATGTGCTGAGTGCTATACATACATCATTTCTCCGCACTCTCACAGCAACCTCTGATGATGGTACGAACATTCTTCTCATTTCAAGGGACCAAAGCTCAGACAGGTTAGGACAAGCCTGCACAGCTGGTACTGGAAAGGGTCAGGAGTTAAATCCAAATCCCATTTACTGCCACAGTCTATGGTGTAGTTGAAAGAAACCGCACCTCACCTGTCTTTTTCCATGTCACACTGAAGCCTGACTCTGAAAGTCTGAACTACATTCCAAGGGCTCACCCTAGTCAGCCATAGGTTTCCTCTTTGGGGAGTCCTAAAGCTCCAGAAGGCCCTAGATCTGGGGGACCTGGGTCTTGAACACTGGTTCATTCTTTTTCATGACTTTCTCCACATCCTCTCCTTACCGGTTGCTGCCACCTGTCTCTCTTCTGAGGTCCTGTAAACTAGGGCGGGTGGAGGGGTGAAAGGAAGATCTTGAAGGTGGAACCTGATCCATAGAAGCAAGAGAGAAAAGCAGAGTCAAGGTGCGCCCCAAACCTTCAGGCCTTTCCACCAAGCCTTTCCCCGCAGTAGAACCCCTTGGCTCTCAGGTTCCCGAGCTGTCCCTGGAAGGAAGCTCCCAGAAGCGCAGAACATCAGCCCCTCCAGTGCACTTACCAGTGCCTGGAGCCTCTGGGGGCATAAAGTCCGACCTCGGGGTCCCGATCCCTCCAGCCTTGAGAAGCAGGAAGCCCTGGCAGGGCCTGGTTGGTGGATGGGGGTTCTGGGGGCCACATACACAGAGGCCTGAGTACCCTGGGACCCCAAGCAAAGTTATTAGCAAGAGCTCAGGATTCTCTCCTCGGCCCACTCCAGCCTGACCTCACATCTGGTCTCATTACCTGGCCCCTCCGGATGGTACCTCCCTGGCTCCCTCGAACCAGTACTCTCTGAGCCAGGCTGGACTGGCGCCCCATTGGATAGCTCTTCACCCCTTCACCTGACAGGATGGTGGCCAGGGCTGCAGGGTCAGCCACAAACTCTATGGCCCCTGGAGCTACTGCAAGGTTAAAGAAGAAAAGGTGAGTAGGAACAGGAATTGGGAGGCTAAGGGGCCAGGGACACTGGCACAGTCATCCTGAGGGGCAGAAGTGAGCAGAGACTCATTTAATTGAGCCCAGCTCACCAAATATTCACAGAACTTTTGGTAGGATATCTACCTTCCTTCCTTCCTTCTTTTTTTTTTTTTGGAGACAGGGTCTCACTATGTAGCCCAGGCTGGCCTTGAACTTGCAGTGATCCTCCGGCCTCAGCCTCCTGAGACCTGGGATTACAGGCATGCACTGTGCTGTGCCTAGCTCCTTTTTTTTCTGTTCCTTTCTTTCTAGGGGACTAAACCCAGGGCTTGGCACATGCTTTTTATTTTGAGACAGGATCTCACTAAATAGCTTAAATTGGCCTTGATCTTGTGCTCTTCCTGCCTCAACCTCCTGAGTAGCTGGGATTAGAGGCATGCATCCAGCTTGTAACACTACTGTAAGCTCAAGTTCGATGAAGAAGACAAAGGCCCTATTATTAAACTGCTGAAAGGTAACACACTTAAGCTAAAGTATAGACAGATTATAAAAGAATTTCTGCAAAGAATTAGAGACCATAGAGCTGAAAACCTTATGACACTTTGCTGAAGAGGAGAAAGATGGCTTCTAAGGACACCAAAAGCAGAACCAGGACTTTTTTTTTTTTTTTTTTTAACTTTTTGGTACTGGGAATTGAACCTTATGGCACATTCCCAGTGCTTTTTATTTTTTATTTTTTGGTACCAGGGATTGAATGCAGACCTTGCACTTGTGAGGCAGGTGCAGTACTGCTGAGCTACCTCTAAGCCCACCTTTTTATTTTTTGATACAGGGTTTTTCACTAATTGTTCAGGCTGGGCTTGAAACTGCAGTCCTCCTGCCTCAGCCTCCCAGAGTACTGGGATTTCAGGTGCACACCATACACCAAGCTACCAGGACCCTTTTTTTCTTTTGGTACTGGGGATCGAACTCAGGATCTTGTGCTGGCTAGGAGGCACTGTGCCACTGAGCTAAATCCCCAGACCCAAGACTCTTGTACTAAGCAGAAGACCAAGGAATAGAAGCACCTCCAAGCCCTGCTGGCCATTTTCACTCCCACTCAGCCAAGGAGGCATCCAACAGGTACCTGTTGGGGGCGGGGGCCGAAGCCCCACATTTTGTGCCACAGGGCTAGGCCTGAGCTCCTCTAGGGGGTTCCGGAGCTGAGTGGTTGCCGTCCACTTTTGTGATTTCTCTGTTCGTTGCATGCCTTTGGACCTGGTGCCTTCTGAGTCAACAAGGGTGTGCTGAATACTGATCGGAGGCTTCTGCACCAAACTCTGGGGTTGAAGAGGGAGAAAAACCTGGTCAGCGCCGGGGTGTATTACTGGTGTGTGTTGCCTTCAGGTAAGTACTCATTACCCACCAGGCCCCTCTTACCCTTGGATCTTGGTTTTCCTGGTCCTGGGTGCTCGATTTAACTGTGGGGAAAGGCGGGCGTCTCTTACAGCGTACTGGGATCTTGCTGGGGGTAGGGGATACACCTCGGAGGAGGGGATCCTCTGTGGCTTGGATAGTGGTCATGGCGGCTACAGTGAGATGGGGAAAAAAAGTCGGCAGGATCGGGTATCAAAGTCAACCAGTTCTCGGGGCACGGGTCCTCGCAACCCCGATACTTCCACCTCCACCCCAGTCTTTGAGCCCAGAAGCCCCAAGCTCCTGCAAGGCCGCTCTTTCTGGCTGCCACCTCCAGACACCCCAACCCCGTTCTTTCGCCCTGACGCCCCTAACTGCTTTTTTCCCTCTGAGCTCCCGCAGCCCTCATTTCCTGCAGGATCCCTGTGCCGCACCGTCCCGGGAACTCTTCACGGTCGCCTCCACTTTCTTCGATTTCTCCCCAAGTTTCTGGGCTCCTGGGGTTGCTACTTCCCCAGTTTGTAAAATACGCCAACCTCTTGATTGGCTCGTCCGAGTGTGAGGAAGCGCGTGACGCATAATCCAGCCATCCAATCCTAGGGGTTTGGAGGCGGGACCAGAAGAAAGACTAGCTGTCGAACAGCTTTTTTTGGCAAGGAAAAAAACTGACCCGTCTCGAACAGCCAATCCGAGAGCGGAGCGCGAGTGGAAGGCGGGGAAAAGGGTAGGAGGAGGCCGTTCTGAGGCAGTAAAAGGCGTGGCGGTCCGAGTCTGGGCTGCAACGGGCGATACAGCGTTCTCGTGAAGTCTCGCGACTGGCGAGGGCAGCGTCCTCTATGGCGAGAATCCGCAGCATTGTGGGAAGGGCTGGACCTCCCTGTTGCCGGGGTGATGTTGGAGGATGCACCGAGCCCACTATGGACTCTAACCATAAGGCAGGCCAACCTTTGGGGGCGCAATTGCAGACATTTAAAGAAAACAAGTGCGTGAGACTAGCGACTGCTTCCAAACTGGCAGAGGGCTGAAGAGAATTGAATTGAGTCTACTGAGAACAAAAAGAAACACACACACACACACACACACACACACACACACACAATTTGTTCACTCAAGCCTCACAACCCTTTGAGGTGGTCAGACTAGGTGTGGCTGGCACAGAATTAACTCCAGGATTGAGAGGCTCCTCAATTGAACTTGCAGTCCTCCTGCCTCAGCCTTCTCCCCACCTTCAGTTTTTCTTTTGCAAGCCTGGAGAATGGCAGTGAGGGCCACCGGCAGATTGGCAGACAGGGGTGTGAGGTAGTCAGATCCTAGAACAGCCTTAGAATGGAAGGGTAACCCCTAAAAGAAGACAGGAAATAGTGGTTGCAGATTTACAAGACTAATAATATTTGCCCTCTGACCTCAGCAGTTCCTATTACACAAGCCAGGAACCTAGGAGTTATTCCTCTGCTCATCCTCTTCCCTTCCACATACCATCTGTCTTTTACTTTTACTTATTTTGCCTTTTAAGTAACTTTAGAACTAATCTATATCTCCATTACCACCACCTTACTCCCCTAATCTGACCTAAAGGATGCAAGAATCTCTCATCCTCTGTGCTCCCTTTCCATATGAATCCATTCTCCTTACAGTAACTATTCTTTCCAAAGTGCAAAACTGGTAATGAATGAACAGTGGTAGAGACTTACCTAGTGTGCCTTAGCTTCAGTCCCCAGCAGCACACACACACACACACACACAGACGCACACGCACACGCACAGTGTTCTAGGGAGTAGAGTTCTTGCAAAGGCAAAGAAAGAATATAGAGTGTTCAGAAAATAGTAAGATGGTATGTAGGGAACAGTAAGAAATAAAACTGGAAGATTATCTGAGGTCTTGAGTTGAAGGAATGATCACCTCGTTCCGCTAACAAGTACTACCCGTGTACTAAACCCTAAACACTAGAGCAGCAGAGATGGCTGTATGTTCTCTTGCAACTATTATGTGTAAGGCCCTTCACTAGGCCTTTGCGTATACACACACACACACACACACACACCCTTATTTCTTTTGGGTTTTTTGTTTTGTTTTGGTTTTGGTTTTTGGGGACAGGGTCTCACAATGTAATTGAGAATGACCTGGAACTCACTGTGTAGCCCAGGCTGGTCTCCACTTCACAACGATCCTCCTGCCTCAGCCTCCCGAGTGCTGGGATTACAGGTGTGCACCACCACATCTGGCTCACACACCCTTATTTCTGTATCTGTCTAAATGTAGGAAAAACCAGGAATTCTAGATTTATTTATTTATCTAGCAGTAGTGGAGATTGAACCCAGTACCAGATTGCATGGAGCTACATCCCCAGACCACTTTTATTTCTCAAACTTTCTTTCCATCTCTCCCTCTTTCTTTCTTTCTTATTTTCTGGTATAGGGGATTGAATTCAGGACCTTGTGCTTGCCAGGTAGGCGCAGTGCCACTAAGCTATACCCCCAGCCTTATTTTTAACTTTAAAATAGGGTCTCACTAAGTTACAAAATTGCCCAAGATGGGCTCAAAGTTGAATTCCTCTTGCCTCAGCCTCTCAGAAGTTTGGGATTACAGATATGTGTCACCATTGGCTTTATTTTTATTTTTACTTTTGGTATTTTGACACACGATCTCACTATATAATTCAGGCTGGCCTTGAATTCACTATATCACCCAGGTTGGTCTCAAACTCCCAGAAATCCTCCTGCTTCTGCCTCCCCGGTGCGATAGGTGAGTGCCATCACACCTATGCTATTTTATTTTTTGGAGACAGTATCTCACTATTTTGGCAAAGCTGGTCTAAAATGTCTGGGTTCAAGCGATCCTCCTATGTCAGTCTCCCAAGTCACTGGAATTACAGGTCTTCACCCCCATACTCCCTATTAGACAGGCCTTTAAGCCCACATCAGTAACAAGTGTGATGGCACAGCCTGTACTCCTAGCATTTTGGGAAGCAAAAGCAGGAGGATAGTGAGTTTGAACCCAAATGGGCAACAGGACAGCCTAGTGAGATCTTGTCTCAAAATAAAAAATAAAAAGGACTGGGGATGTAGCTCAGTGCAAAGGCTCTAGATTCAACCCCCAGTACCACATAACCACATACACTGTACTTTTCACACTCTTTCATCAGATTAAGACATATTTATTTGAACTATAGGATTATATAACAAGTGTGAACCAGGTTTGCTGATACACACCTGTAATCACAGCTCTCTGGGAAACCGAGACAGGAGCATTCCAAGTTTGAGCCCAGTCTGGACAATTTAGCAACTTAGACCCTATACTGAAAGAAAAAAAGTATGAGTGTGCAAAGCATTTAAAAACAAATACTACCAGGTTGAAGGGAGAGCAGGGATAAGGGGAAAAAATGACAACCAAGACCTGTCATGTAAAGGTACAAGATCCCAATGATGAGTGTAACTATGCTGTATACCTAAAATGTACCAATAAACTCAATGAGAAAAAAAGAACCAGCATTTGTTAGGCATTTAACATCTGTTAATTCACTAATCAGAGCCAAAGTACAGAGGGAATTGGAATGGCCCATCAGTACTCAAGAGCTGAGTACTTCTGAGATCTATGACTATGTCTTCCAGAGGATGAAGAACTCTGCTTCACTTCATAGGATTGAGTGAGGAGTCCATCTTCCATGATGGGAGGTAAGAGCAGGACAGATGGGCATGAGGAAGTCAGCATGCCATTGTGGGCATGCTTGCTGCACAGCCCCAGGTGAGGGAGCCATAGGCATCTGCTGCCAGGGCCCCCAGTCACTGCCCAGCTGTGTGAGGCCAGACCCCAGTGTCTACTTCCCTTGAGCCAGCTTCAGCGCTCCTCCTCTTCCTCCTCCTCCTCCTC